CTTAGAACTCATGGACTACCAATTCCCCTTGAAAACAGCCTTAGTAAAGCTCCTACAGAAGCCAACCACAAAGGCCAATATTTCATATTTTCAGTCATCCCAGCCTTGGTACTTGTCAATGACGAAGATGAAGGATACGGTCCTTTCAAAGAACTGTTAGAAAAAATATACTGTCCTTGTCTCAAGTCACTAAGAGACAGTATATTTTTAATTCAGCATAAATAAATGAGGTTGCAAATGGTCTCAAAGTGTTGAGTCTAAATGAAATGTGTTGATTCTAATAACCTATAAAATCAAATTCTTTTTTTCTGATTGTGAAGACATATTTGAATAATTCTAGTAGATTTTTGCAACTGTGTTTTTTAGAAACTGGCATTTGAAATGATTTCTGAGACTGGAACCGTTGTTGTTCACATTACTTTTTTTAAAAAAAATTGACATTGGGTCTATGATTGTTTCTCAGTTGCCTGTTCTGGCAATCAAGGTGTGAATCCTGAATTTTTCCAGACTCGATGGAATGACAACCATAATTTTCTTTAGTAGATTACCCTACTGTAGACTAAAGGCTTGCACATACACCATCTCAGTTAATCAGCCTTAATTTGTATACAGGAGGCATTAAGAATACTTTATTACACACCAATGTACTTATTATAAATAAGAGCACATTTGAAAGCATTTATTCTCCAGTGGTTCTGAAAAAAAACTTCTTTGTACTTTACTTAGGTCTTTTTCTGTAAGTCTGAAATTGTTTCAAATTAAAAACCTTCTACAAAAAAAACCAAAAAACAACCTTCACAATTTGTTTAATGGATCTGATTATTATCCACACGACTCTTCTATTTTGTGTGCAAACAAAAGAAATGTGAAATTCTTCAAAGAGAAATTATAAGTAAAAACCCTCAAAAACAATTCAAAATAAAAGATTAAGAAGTAGTGTTCATGAACTTGGTAGTGGCTGCTGTAATTGAGGTTGTGGATAGGAAACCGAAAAAATAAAAGCAGATGCAGACAAAGTAATGAAATAATAAAATTTCACATGTGGTGAATGCTCATTCTGAGGCACTTTTATGAGCCTTTTTGTTTATGTTAACTCATTTCCTCATAACACCTCATAAGGAAGAAGGTTTTGTTAGCTCAACTATAAAATAGTTGATAAAACTGACCCCAGAGAGGTAAAGGAACTTCTCCGCTGGAAGAGCTGGCCATGAATCAAGACAGGCTGGCTCCAGGACCTCTGCTATTAACCATCCATTAACAACAGGGCTCTCAACAACAAAGAGTAGCCTCAACATTGGAAGGCTTGGATGAGCTACACACGGTGCCAAGCAAACATAAGAACTGCCAGGAGCTCCTCTAGCTTAGTGAAAAATATTATCCACCACGAACCCAAGCCAAAAGAACCATAGCGCATGTAAACATTTAGAAAGAAGAAGATTTATAGTCAGGCACTTATGAGGAACCTATAACCGGGAAAAATCAACATGAGCTCATGATGCCAATGAGTTGCACCCTCGTGGTGAACATGAAGCTGAGCAGATAGTGGAAGGGTGTGGAGCTCACACACACAAGACAAAGCAGAGTCAAGGGCCAAGGCTGGACTGGTTTGTCTGTAGAAATACAAGAAACCACCTTTCAATTAGGCAGTTTATTTACATAAGGAGCAAAAACATAAGCGAGAGTGTTAGTTTCCTGTCAGCCTTGCCACATATGTCAGTAAGAACCACAGCAAAACAAAGGGGTTGGATGACTACCATGTAAGTTGGTGAGGGGCTCATTGTAGAGTGGAGCAGGGGTTTGGGGTTGGCAAGTGCGAGTTCACAGCTCGGGTTACTGACGGGTCGTTTTGCCTTCTCTTATATGGATCTACTTTATAAATACCTAGGACCAGATTCTCCTCCTGCTCAAGCATCCATTTTTCTTCTTGTCGATCAAGTCTTGCCAGATCAAGTGGCAACCTCATTCTATCAATCACAGTTTAGGGTTAGAACCTCAGCTCTCCATCCCTCTCATCACTGGTTTGATTATAAACTAAATGTGTTTGACATCTGCCCTGGGCAGATTCTGTGAGTGAAAGTGCTAAGCGTGAAAAAAATGAGACATCGTCTCACAACAGCTCACTAAATTGATTTCCTTTTCTAAAATAAATTTTTGCAAATTCTAGGTTTTTCTTGTCAAAATCTTTAAATCCAAGAACTACTTCAATTTGCAAGAACTTTAAGAAAATACAAACTGCACTGACAGTTTCTCTTCCTTTCTGATGCTCGCTAAATTTCCTTTCAATTCTCTCTTGATTTAATTATTTCCTGTGTGTTTCCTCCTCCCAGGCCTGAATTCCATTTGGATGTCCCTGCAATGCCTAGAAAGTGGCTGAAGCTTAGCTTCCAGTGGCACAATTTTAATTTTCACTCAACAGGATTCAACCAATGCTGGAAGGAGGTCAAAATGGATTGTTTTGTTTTTTCCAAGCTATGTGAGGTAGTCATGCCTTTTGATTAAATTTTATGTGCATTTATTCCCAAAACTAAATTTCATCACTTTCTCCTTTTCTCTACATTAATGTTTGGGCTACTTTGGGCCATGCACATTAGCTGTAAGTAGAGGGGAGAAGGTAAGTACTTCCATATAGCAAGGCTATTTCCTCTCATCAGAAGGAAGGGCATCAGATGAACAGCCAGGCCAATTTTGTTCTTTTTCCTGACCACTGTTTTGTATCTATATTCAGTTGGATGTTTTATAATTGTCATGTTCCACACACACACACACACACACACACACACACACACACACACACAAAGAATGACAGATGGACTTGTTTCTGACAGTTTTCCTTAACATTATTGAAATGAAGTGACAATCAGGCCCATTTATGTTCCTGCTGTGTTCCCAGAATCTATAGCAGCAGGACACACTAAACATGCTCAATAAATACTTGCTGAATAGCTAAGCGAATTTCCACTCTGATTATAAATTTAACTTACACAAAAATTGCATTTGCAAGCAGATTCAAGTTAATTTAAAAGCACTGACATTCATTTCCCTTTGGTTACATTTCTCTTCAGCGAATTAATATATTTAACAAATGCTTACTAGATATGAATTTTAATTAAGTATTTAAAGGTAACTAAATTCAAACAGAAAAGGACAGTTTCAAATTCTTACCCTGACAATATTTCAAAATTACGGAATAAAAAGACGTAGTTAAAACAATGATTCAGAACATAGAAAGCATGGAAGTAGCCAAATTCAAGTTTCATATCAAGTGTGAGAGCGCCACCAATCCACCTGTTTCCTGTCACAGCAGCTTGTTGGCTTCTTTACAGCACTTACCATGGGTTCTTTTCCTTGTTTGCTTACTGTATGTTGTCTATTTATCCTATTAATTTGATAGATCCATTATAAAGAATTTGCTTGGTTTGTTGCTCTAGTCCTCAATTCTGGCACAGTAACTGGATCACAATAGATACTTGATAAACATCTGTTGCAAAACGCAAGTAACAACAAGACTGTTTAATAGTTGTGCATGGATGTGTGACCTGCACACACACACACACACACACACACACACACACATTATTGTTGATACTTGTGGGTATGTGGATGTCTATGAGTGTTTTTGAGTGTTATGGTTTGGCATAGATACTTGTTTCATCTGGATATTATTAAATCTCCATAACAATACCATACCCTTAGATGGAGGCAATTTAGGCCCCAAATTCTGGATTTGCACATTAAGGTGATGGTAGCTTGGTGTGACTTCTAAGATTTTCTTGGTTCTTCTTTGGTGTTGGGAATGAGCCAGCACTGTCTTTGGTTGAAGGTCTCTGGGTTGTTTCCTGAGACCACATGAGCTCTGCCCCCCGTTTCTCCCCTTCATAGTTCTTTCTTAGCTTTTTCCTTGTATTCAAGACCCAAGAGATGGCCCAGAGAACTCTACCACATATGCATATGAATGAAGTCTTCCTGTGGTCCCCAGTTGAGCCCTGGTTCCAAGAGGGAGGGCAAACTTAGAAAAAGATTGCTTGCTCATCTCACCAGTTACTCCATGTAGGATTATTATTATTATTATTATTATTATTGTTATTATTATCACCATGCAGGATTAAACTGTCAGGATAGTTCCAAAGTGTATATCTTCAGTGACTTGAATTGTATAGATGAGGTGTTGGAAAGATACTTTTTTCAGGGATGTATAATATAGGGTCAATCATAGAGTTAATGTCCCCATTTTTTTTTTCTTTTTGTACCAGGAATTGATCTAAGGACCTTGCCCTTGCAAGGCAGGCAGTGGAACCACAGAGCTAAATCCCTGGCCCAAATGTCCCCATCTTTGATGGGAAGATCAATACCATACATTAAAAATGACTAATACAGTATAACACAAACAGTAAAAATTGAGTCCAAAAGTGATTTTGATTATGTATCTTGAACACATTATCCCATATGAGAACAGAGAGAAGAAACACTGTGAAGATTTCCAGGTAACTGGAGGAAATTAGAAAATAAAAGGGAAATTGGGGAACTTGCCATATTAGATGTAAATGTGGATGAACAGGTGAGTTACCTTTAAGCTGACTGCATTACAATACTGAGGACATGGCCTCCAGAGTACTTCACAACTGGGTAGCTCCTCAGGCAATGTGATTCTCCAAGCTTTAAATAAATAGAAACCTGAAGGAAAATACTCCTTTTAATGCAATATAATGTATTTTTAATCTGCTTCCTGCAGAAGGGTTCTTAGGGCTCTTTGCTTTCCACTATTATTTCTGTCTCAAAGCTTGTGAAAGAGGTCCTTGAAAATGCTTTTATTTAAGGCTTTGTTTCTCATGGGAACATGAGGAAATAGAAAACTCTCCAAACCTTCCAGTTTGTTTAGTGAAGAAATATGACCATCATGTTCTTCTTCAGTGGGGTCAATCAAAAGATGGTCCTGAAATTCAGGCCTTTGGTAGGTGTATAAATACATGTTTGTGTGTGTGTGTGAAAGCAGCAGTCACACTTTGTACAGCAAGCAAAACCAGTGACTTGGTGGATTCTCTGGGTTTTCTGAAACTCCAAGAAATTATCACAGACACCTGCCATGAAGCTGTCAACTGCGTTCCTGCTGGTGACCATCAGCATGTGTAGTTACTCTGGTAAGTAGTCTAGAATATATGATGTTTCTCTACTTTTCCACTAGTAAAACTCAACCGATAAGCCTGCGTCACTGATATTGGAATATGGTGGAAGAAGTTTTAGATTCACTAAAAATGGAATTGTTGGGGGGTATCACAGATTCCTCCATCATCCTAGCTCCAACTTTATCTAAGTTCTATAAAGTTCTATCCCTAATGCATCTTGCATAGGAGGATAGCCAATTTCCACTGAAGGTCACTGAGGGATATTCACTGTTGGACACAAGTGGTCATTAATTTTCTTTGATCTTGTAACTTTTTTCTTTATGATTTTAAAAGTATATGGAGCCATTTACTATTATCTCTAGATTGCCAAATTGGGTCTTCTGAAACAGCTGCATTTATGTTTGCCTACACACACACACACACACACACACACACACAAAAAAAAAAAAAAAAAAAAAAAAAAA